GAACAGGGCCCGGTTACCTCTGTTATTATATCTGGCACTCATTTTGGGTCCCCTACACAATTCCTAGTGAATACCCAGTCCCCACGTGTAAAACTCCACATTTTTTCCTATTCCCTCCTGCGACATATATGCTGCATATGTTGGGTGCAGTCTGTCCAGTACAGATTGCAGTTGTCGGCCCAACAGAGCTTGGCTGGACTTTTTCCTGACTCTGGGCAGGGAGTTATGTGTTGTATGAACAAATAGCGGTTGAGTTTATCAGGTAAATGTCCAGACCCCATCCTAGCCAGGGCGTCCTTAGCTGAACTCACTGCATGCTCCACCCTGCCATTACTGGCAGGGTGGTATGGAGCCACCATGGCATGGCGAATTCCAGATCTAGCCATGAAGGCCTGGAACACTGCCAAGGTTAGCTGCGGCCCATTGTCGGACACGATGGTGTCCGGGAAGCCATGTGTTGCAAAAAGGCCCTGTAATGCTCGACAGTAGCTTCCGCCATACTGGAATGCATGGGTGTTAACTCCACCCACTTAGAAAAGGCATCCACTACTACCAGTACCATGTGGGCTTGAACTGGCCCTGCAAAATCCAAATGGATTCCGGACCAGGGACCACAGGGCAGCTCACCCTCCCTGGGGGTGGCAGTGACTGGTGCAGGCCTGGATGATTGACAGGGCTGGCAGCAGAGCACCCACTCCGCAATAGCTTCATCCATTTTGGGCCACCAGACATAGCTGCACCCCAAAGACTTCATGTGCACTATGCCTCGGTGGCCCTCATGGAGGAAACTAAGAATCGACTGGCAGAGTGGTGAGGACACCACTACCTTGCTGCCCCACAATAGGCAATCCCTTACTACAGACAATTCAAGCCGTCTTCTGTAATATGATAGGAAAGCAGCAGGCACTCCATTTCCTGGCCAACCCCTGCGAACCCAATCTAGCACTTTGGAAATGATAGGGTCTCTTTTAGAGCGGCTGGCAATATCAGACACAGTGAGGGGCAGGTCCTCCTGATACTGCATGAGAACAGCCGAAGAAGTTAACAGGTATTTTAACAGCCACAAATGCCTTTGCTTTGTGGCTGCCCCATTTCCAGGCAGCTGAACTATCCAGCAGCCTGTGCAAAGGCTTGGCAACTGAAGCCTTATGCGGCAAGAACATGGCACAGAAGTTAAGCAACCCTAAAAAGGTTTGCAGTTCTAACTTGTTTGTAGGAACAAGGGCCAATTTAACGGCCTCCACTTTCACAGGGCTGGATGGATTCCCTTAGCATCAATCAAGTACCCAAGAAAATCTACTGTATGCACCATTTTTGTCTTTGCAGATAGCACTCAAATCTCTCAATGAATACCTATAGAGCCGAGGTGGTGCAGTGGTTAGAGTGCAGTACTGCAGGCCACTTCAGCTGACTGTTATCTGCAGTTCAGCGGTTCAAATCTCACCGGCTCAAGGTTGACTCAGCCTTCCATCCTTCCGAGGTGGGTGAAATGAGGACCCAGACTGTGGGGGTTATATGCTGACTCTGTAAACCGCTTAGAGAGGGCTGAAAGCCCTATGAAGCTGTATATAAGTCTAACTGCTATTGCTATTGCTATTGCTATTGCTACCTCCCAAGACTCCTGCCCTGGAACGAGCGCTGTGAACTGGGGGAACAGCTGCCATTATTATCAGGAACAGTTTTTCCCTGAGGTAAATCTGACCCCTAATGCTCAGAGGTGGATCGTGGTGGCTGCTTCAACAGAAGGATCCCACCTTTGTCACCAGTATATTAATCTGAGCACTGTGGAGACAGGAGACAGTTTAAGCCAGTGTTTTTCAACCACTGTGCCGCGGCACACTAGTGTGCCGTGACATAATGTAAGGTGTGCCGTGGGAAAAACACTTTATATATAGTCAATATAGGCACAGAGTTAATTTTTTTTAACATTTTCTAATGGTGGTGTGCCTCGTGATTTTTTTCATGAAAAAAGTGTGCCTTTGCACAAAAAAGGTTGAAAAACACTGGTTTAAGCCAACAAACTTTATTAACAGAACCAGTAACTAACAACGCAAATGGTCCCTCTGACAGCTTTTTATAGCTGAGCTGTCAGAGGAATAGCCAATCAGAGCTCCGCAATTCTCCCGCCGGCCGGGAGTTGCATTGGAACCAATAGCATTGCTCCTATCTTTGACGGACACACAGCGGTTGTAAAAGTGAGGACTTAACAATTCACTTAACAACTATGGCAAGAAAGGTCATAAAATGAGGTAAAACTCACTTAAATGTCTCTTAGCAACATCAATTTTGGGCTCAATTGTGGTCATAAGTTGAGAACTATTTGTATCATGGTTGTTAAGTGAATGTGGCTTCCCCATTGACTTTGCGTGTCAGAAGGTTATAACAGGTGTTCACGTGATCTTGAAACACTGAAACTGTGATAAATATGAGTCAGTTGCCAAGCATCTGAATTCTGATCACGTGACCATGGGGATCCTGCAATGGTCGTAAGTGTGAAAAATGGCCGTAAGTCACTTTTTTCACTGCCATTGTAACTTCAGTCACTAAATGAACTATTTAAAGTTGAGGACTACCAGTACTCCATTTCTGCATATCAGAGAAGAATCACAGAAAAACTGTGTTCCAAATTCCTGATTCAGGAAACTGTTATTCCAAAGGCATAGAGAGATGAAATTAGGATTAATAAAAGACACATTCTGTGTCTGTTTCCATAGGAAGAATGGGAGTCTATGGCTGATTTGTCCCAAATCCAGGCTAAAACAATTAAATGTTGTGGCCCGCCAGTGGCCAGCGGAGTTAGCAGCAGATTCGGACAGTGAGGAGGTTGGGGAGAAACATGAGCCAATCCTGGAGTCTGGGGAAGGATTGTATTTGTATTTATTAGGATTTATAGGCCGCCCTTTTCCCTAAGGGGACTCAGGGCGGCTTACAATCATTAGGGAGGGGGTGAGGGGGATCTGATGAGGGCTCTTCGTCGAAGGCGGGTGGGGGCAGAGCCGTATGCCAGTTATCAGCTGCCTTCAGAGCCAGACTTCAGTGAGGCAGACAAATAGCTGGAGCCTGTCCCCAGTATGCGCATGCGCAGAGTTACCAGACGAAGGGAACAACTAAAGATCACGGGTTGTCTTGGAAATAAGGATAGACAATGAATGGCCCCTCTCAGAGGAAATAAAAGAGGAGTGAAAGGGGAGTGGAGTTTGCAGGAAACAATTAGTTCGCTAATTGGTTGGTGACCCTCTGAGACTCCTTGCCAAGTTCTGCAGATATCGGCCTGCCAGTTCTCAAGCCAGATAAGGTCTGTGTCTGTAAATCCTCCTTTGAAAGACTGGCTGGGAATGAGCAGAATTCACTGTAAATTAATAAAGGTTTTTTTTGCTGGGACAAGGAGTTTGGGAAGGCTCTTGGGAAGCCTCGGTCAGAACATTAAGATAAACAGTCATCTCCATGAACATCTGCAACCTATCTTACAGTATCGCCCTCCCAAAAAATATTTTGGAGTGGGCAGTATATTTGGTGAAAATCTTGAGATCCAGGAAATGATTATTGAGTTGAGGACAGTGAAATTACAAGACCATTCCATCATCATTCTCTTGATCCATCCAGTCAGCCTTTCCTAGCTATCTCAAATAAATCAAGACAGATAAGGGTCAAGTAAGCATGTGATAAGGGAGCGGTGATAAGTGGTTATGGCCTCAGAAGCTGAAAATGTTCCCATGCAATTAGAGAAGATGGTGAATCATTGCCCACCACAGTACAACAGTGTTCACATCAGTATGAAGTTGAACAAAATGGGCACCCATGTTTCCCAGTAGGTCTTTGAGAACTCCAAAATTGTTTTTTTTTATGAACGGTGCTTGAACATCTTGGAGCAGGGGTGTCAAATGCAATTTCGTGGAGGGCCACATCAGAGTTGTGTTCGACCTTGGGGGGGGGCACGTGGCCAGCATGATGTCACTTGTGTCCGGGGGAGGGGTACCTCCTGCAACCCTCTGCCAGCAAAAATGAAGCTCGGGAGGACCGTGCGCAGCCCACCCAAGCTCCATTTTTACTGGCAGAGGGATCATGGGATGGTTTTTTTTGCTGTTTTCAGGGTGGATCCTTGGACCAGATCTAAGCACCCCGTGAGCCAAATCTGCCCCCCCTCAGGCCTTGAGTTTGACACCTCTGTCTTAGAGGCTTCTTGTGCAGTTATTTGAGAATCTAATGGAAGTCATCATAATTTTTTTCAGTGTTGAAGATTATTATATTTCCTCAGTGAATATTTAACTATTATAGTATGAGGTAGCTTCTGGTAGATTTCCTATGTAATTGTAGGTGTCCCTATAATATTGTTTTATTACATTGATAATATATGTTCCTGTGCCATTTCAAAATTTTGTCTTAATGATAATTCCTTTCTAAGAAGATTTTACTTTTCTCATTCTACTTATGCAATAATAAAAGTACAAATCTATTTCTTTCCACTTTCCCTCTAGTTTTCTTCCATATACTGTATATAACTATAAGGATCATTCTTTGCACTCTCAATATTTTTCCACTGAAATGGTTTAAAATCTGGTTTCATTGTAATTCTTCACACAGTTACAACTTCTAGAGAGCTTTCCTTTTTATTTTGCAAAATAAGTTAAATACACCAGAAAAATTTATTAGAAGGAATCTGTTTATTTTGTTTAATAAGTAGGTATCACTCAGTTGCATTCAGATAGGAAAGAAAGAAAGAAAGAAACATACACACACATACACACATAAGTTTGAGGTATATATTCAGTGGTGAGATTCAAATTTGTTTACTATTGGTTCTGTCGGCGTGGCTTTGTGGGTGTGGTATGGCTTTATGGGCATGGCTTGGTGGGCGTGGCAGGGGAAGGATACTGTAAAATCTCCATTCCCTTCTCACTCCAGGGGAAGGATACTGTAAAATCTCCATTTCCTCCCGATCAGCTGGGACTTGGGAGGCAGAGAATAGATGGGGGCAGGGCCAGTCAGAGGTGGCATTTACCTGTTTGCCGAACTACTCAAAATTTCCGCTACCGGTTCTGTAGAACTGGTCAGAACCTGCTGAATACCACTTCTGTATATATTGTTTTGAAAGTTGGATTAAATTTTAGGACTGGTATCTAGTCGGTTTCCACTGGCCGAATTTTCATTCTCACAACTTTGAGAGAGTAATCTGATGGCCGAAAGGGTAACCAAATCACTCCATTTTCAATCTCATAAGGAACATTGTTCCTTGGATCATACTGACCACTTGAGTAGTAAATACCATTGAGATTAGCAGCTTGGCAGTTGTTATACCACCAGCCACCTCCATACACCTCAGCACAATTCTCCTCCCACTGATCACTGTCTCGGTCATATGTACTAAATTTCATGCTAGTGTGAGATGTATATTCAGTGCCATCTTCCTCTGATCCTCTGATCAGGGCATCCCCTGCTGTCCCCTTGTAATTGGAGACTCTGAGTCTATAACCTTCTGATTCAGAACCTATGTTTATATTATATTCTGCATAAACTTTATCACCCTCCCAATCTTCTAGTTCAACCCGAAGAACAGTATCTTTCTGGGTCAGGATATGGAGATTTTCATTGCCCAACCAGAATTCTCCCCTCCCTTTGACATCCAAGCTGCCGAAACCTTTCTTGTAGTCTTCCCAGGTCCGGTTAAAATTCAATGACCCATCCAATCTCTGTTGGATCAGAAGCCATCCTCCCAAAGTAGTCTCTTGGTCGCAATAAACTGAAAAAACCTTAGCGGATCCTGCTGGCGTGATTCTGAAAATGCCACTTTGGGCACCAGAAGTGTGTTTTTGGTGGATATCCTCACAGTCTAAAAAAACAAAGTTGATCAAGTTGACAGAAGTTTTCAATTAAGTTTTATTACAAGCTCACAGGTATCCAACAGTAATATTGCTGAAGTCAACTGTCTACACTCAATGTTGTGCTACATTGGAAAGACATCTTTGCATCGTTCCCCCACCCGAAAAGTACATTTGATTTAAATTTATTACCTCTCGTAGTCTGTATGGATCTGCCTTGCTAACCAATGACTCATGATAAAAGCTCAATGTACCCCACCTTTCTTAATTGGCAACAAACAGACACATGGCTTTCATTAACTGAACAATGTCATGGATAGCAGTATTTGTGTCAGTTTGGTTGCAAACTTCATTTTCGCTCCCTCCACAATTATTTTCCATGAACTGGATGGATACCTGTCCCGATGTTGCCTTTCCCAAACTTCTCCTCTGCATTGAAGCTTTGTTCTTCTAAACCAGTGTTACGCTCTGTATTTTCATCATGTTGTATTTCTTCTGTTTCAATGACTCTTGACTTGGTCCCTATTATTGTCTTGGTGTGGCCTCCCTGGGAGAAATCGTCAAATCTTGAGAAGTCATCAAATTCATCCTCCCCTACTTCTGAAAAAGGATCCCCTTCCTGTGTTTTTGTGTGGCTAAATGTTAAGGTTCCGGAATCTGCCTCTGGATGATGGGGAACGAAATCATGAGAGCCACTTCCGCCGGCGCCACTACTGATAGCTTCTTTAATGAAACCTTCCAAATGAGAACAATCGGAACCATCCGGAGTTTTATATTCTTCAACGGTCTCTTCTCGTAAACCACCAGGCCCACGAATGATTTTTGTAGTGGTGGTTTTGATACATGTATGGCTGGTACGAACATCAGTAGAAGGTCTTATTATTGCTTTACTTATAGGCGGTTTTCCAAACACTCCTGCTTCGGGAGCAGCATATTTGGGATCTGCTGAGGATCCTTTAGGATCTTCCAATACTACCTTAAACAACTTTATAGTGTCAAGTAAGCTTACTTCCTGTTCAGTCAGAGCAGCAGATTTATAGCGAATGGGAGCAGGAGAGTCCTTCACTTCTGTTATTTTCAGGGTCTTGAGGGGAAAGCCTTCTTCTTCTGACACCATTTTAATGGCATTAACTTGTACGAGCTGCTTCTGTATGTTTGTATAACTCTCTGTGTCCACATTGTAGTTGAAAACATGAGCACACGATCCTTTGCAGGCACGTATCTTTATATCAATGTCCACCTAGGCCATAAGGATTCAGGGGGGGAGGGGGGGAAATGTAGAAATTTGTAAGTAGACATTGATTCCTAAATCTCCCTGAATTGTAACCCTAGTTGCTGCCCCATAAGATTAAAAATAAGGAATGCTTGTAAAGGCCATAAATGTAGATGGGCCCCTTGCAATCATTGAATTACATGTGGCTTCATTTCACATGACTCTATATAATTTGAAAAGTCCTCTGCAAACAAAGTGCAGATTTTAAATAGCTTTTCCCTGGCAGTCTGCTAAGACTATAGCTCATCCATGTTAATGCTGATTCACATTTTTGGTCTTATCTACCAACAGATTATTTAATATAGTAAAATAACATAGTAAAATGTTGCTGCTGTGAAACAGGAAGGAAGGGAGGGAGGGAGGGAGAGAAGGAGGGAGATTATTAATCGTACAAATTTTTCCCCCCTAATCTCGCAGTGGTTGCTGAAACTGCCTCATTCATTGAAACATATAACTAAGAAAAAGGTGCACTGGGAAATATTTGTCCCAGCATTTTAAAATAGATACACCTTTAAAAAAAAAAACCAAGACAACTCACCTCTAAACGTTTCAACTCTCCAACTTGATTATGGATTGAGTTCTGCAAGGTTTTAATCCTTTCTACTTTATCAGCAACTCGCTGTTTCAGTGTCACCAATCTCCTTCTTAGATCATCAGATATTTGCCCATAGTTCTTATTTAATTCTGTAATAAAAGAAATTAGTACAGTGTAGCCGCAGCCCTTCATACAGTGTGATCTAAAAAAAATATGCATTAACCAAAGCTACACAGCCTTCCCAGTCTTATGCTTTTAAAATTAGATGAAGCCACCTGTATAACAGTCAGTACGACTATATATGTGTTTGCAAGATTGGATAGAGATTTAGAGATGGAATCAGGGGTGGACTGCTGGGGGTTTGCAGGGATTCGGAAGAACCTCTAGCTAAGATTCTGTGCAGTTCAGAGAATCCCCAAATCCCACTCCTGGGTGGCCCCACTCAACCTGCCCTATCCCCCCCAGGAGTCCCCAAGTGGCCCATTTTGTATGCAGGTAAATGCAGGGCATGCCCAGAGGTTTGGGGAGGGCAAAAAACACACCTACTGGAAGTTCGGGAAGGCTGAAAACAGGATTGTTTCCAACCTCCGGAGCCTGGGGAGGCCGTTTCCGCCATCCCGGAGGCTTGAGGAAAGCCTCCGGAGTCCGGGGAGGGCAAAAACACCTCCGTGTCATGGTGCAGGAAGACAGGTCACATCCACCATGGCCACCCCCACCCAGCAACCAGGCAGAAAACCCCTTGCTAAAATTTTTGAAGCCCACCCCTGGATAGAATACTATATCTGCAATTCCTCCTTAATGTCGTTTCCTGAACTGCACAGTCTATCATCCCAAAGATTATCCCAACTTATCCCAACAGGCCTGGGGATAAGTCTCTAATTTGCCCCACCCGAGTGTTGAATGTTGAATGCAAGTTGTGTTTTTATTACGTTATTTATTTTGTTCACATATTGTTTGTTTTGAATTGCACCCCCTCCCTAATGATTGTAAGCCGCCCTGAGTCCCCTCAGGGAAAAGGGCGGCCTATAAATCCAAATCAAATCAAATCAAATCAAAATCAAATCAAAGAATGATCTCCCAGTCATTGTGGTTCCAATTAATATTGGACTACATTGTCATTTGTAATATTGGAGTACACCATTGTTAATGTTTATGTTTTAGGTGCATCCTATCAAATACTGAGAGGGTAGCTTAGAAACATATTAAGCATGCGTAATTTGGAACTGGATTTCCTGCCTTTCCTCTTAATCTTAATACTAACCCAAATGTTCCAGAGATGGCACTGGAAAATTAATATATGCATGAAATCATGACAAATAATTTTCAGAAGGAAAATGAAAAAAAATAATGTACTGGAAGAAATACTTTTCTAAGATTTGGTTAAGTAATTGGTAAAAACATTTTTGTCATATGGAAAATACCCGAAACAGCCCAGAATTAGATAATAATGCTTTTTACCAATTTATGTCAAAAGTTTCAATTCTGAGGTAAAACAAATATATATTTTAAAAGAAATAGCTAACGGTATTTAAACTCAATTATTTTATGTAGTAACCTTCCCAGTCTGCTCTCCAGATACATTGAAGATAGAGAATTCAAAGAATTTCAATTTTAAATTACAGAAATACAGATTAACAGAGTTGGAAGGGACCTTGTAGGTCATCTAGTCCAACCCCTGCCTAAGCAGGAGACTCTACACCATTCCTGACTGATGGCAGTCCAGTTTCTTGTTGAAAGCTTCCAGTGATGAAGTTCCCACAACTTCTGAAGACAAACTGTTCCATTGGATTGTTCTCACTGTCAGAAAATGTCTCATTTCCAGGTTGAATGTCTTCTTGTTCACTTTCCATCTATTATTCCTTGTCTGGCCTTCAGGTACTTTGGAAAATAACTTGACCCCCTCCTCTCTGTGGCAGACCCTCAAGTATTGCTATCAGATCTCCCCTGGTCCTTCTCTTCACTAGACTAGCCATGCCCAGTTCCTGCAACCTTTCATGTATGTTTTAGGCTCCAGTCCACTTATCATCTTGGTTGCTCTTCTCTGTACTCTTTCTAGAGTCTCAACAACTTTTTATAGCATGGTGGCCAATTTTATAGGCATTTTAAAAATCTTCATATAACTGGGATTAAACTCACCTTGTTCACTGGGCAGATATCTTTCCAGATAATTAAAAATTTCCTGTTTCAAATTATTAGATGATTTGTAACTATTTTGGTTATCCGAAAGCGCCCTCTTAATGTTTTCTATCCTGTTTTGAAAATCTTGATTTGCTTCATCTATCAGTCCTTGCATCCTACATCCTGAGGGACATTTAATGCCCTAAATAACAGAAACAAAGTAAAAGAACACATAAAGTAATTGACAAATAATTTATACATTTTCAGATGTTAGAAAGTATAGGTAGTCTCAGGTTATGGAAACAATCAGAACCAGAATTTTGGTCGCTAAGCAATGTGGTTAAGCGAGTCCTGTGCCATGGTCATTAAGTGAAATATTAAGTGAATCCAGCTTTAGACTGACATTTCTACTCAGTCATTGTGGTTTACAATAGCTTACCATATTGTCAGAGGTGGGTTCCTACCAGTTTGCACCTATTCGGTAGAACCAGTTGGTCAACCGGTTAGAAGAGATTCCACCAGTGGACCCGGAAAGCAGGCCACACCTACAGAAGAGGTTCCAAATTTTTTTTGAAACCCACCACTGGTCCTTGGATATGATTATTCTATACTATCAAGCTCATATTTATAAAACTCAGTGCCTCTGAGAAAGGTAAGGATGACTACTACGTTTGTGGTGCAATCAGAACATTGCGTGTGTTGAAGTTGTTTTAACGTAAACCAAAGATGCCTTTTAAAAAACAAGTTACATCATATTCTTATGCATGCCAGTGCTGTGCGTGAGGTAATTTAAGGTGGTTCTGACAAGTGTCGTCGGCATCTTCATATCCGGTCACATGGGCGGCAAGCCACTCCCATCCAGTCACATGGGCGGCAAGCCACTCCCACAAAGGAGGCCACACCCACAGAGTAGGTTCGAACAATTTTTGAAACCCACCACTGCGTATTGTGTGCACCCAAACTGAGGTAAAAAACTTCTTGTACAGATTTGTATAATTTATGCTCATTTACTCAAAAGTAACTCTTTTGTATTAATTAACTTTTTGTGCAACAGCAATGACTCCCTTATCCCCTCTCAATCCACAAATTAATATTTTTGTGGAAATGCACAAGTCAGTATGGCTGTGTTCTTCATGTGATGACTATTTTTTGAAGTTCTGCAAAAAAAAAATAAAAAAAAAATCTAAAAATCTACTTTCTGGTTAGTTATTTTTTCTACTCGGGAGAGGAAAACAATTACAGGTAGTCCTTGATTTATGACTACAATGGAGCCCAAAATCTATGTTGCTAAGCGAGACATTTGTTAAGTGAATTTTGCCCCATTGTACCACCTTCCTTGCCACAGTTGTTAAGTGAATCACTGCAGTTCTTAAATTAGTAACACAGTTGTTAAATGAATGACACTGAAACTGTCATAATTGTGAGTCACTTGTCAAGCATCCAGATGCAAATCACATGACCATGGGGATGCTGCAACGGTCATAAGTGTGGGAAATGGTATTAAGTCACTTTTTACAGAGCTGTTGTAGCTTCAAATAGTCACTAAGTAAAGTCAAGACTACCTGTAGTTTAAAAAAATCTATGATGGGGCAATCCAGAATAAATACGTAGATTTATTAAATTCCATTCCTTTCTTCTCTTGTGTGGCAAAGAAGGTATTATACTCCAGTTTACTCCAGTTTTTCTTCTGGAGTAATTAAATAACTTGATTCCTTCTCTGCTAGTACTAACAAAACACTTATAAGCCAATGATCAGGTTAAGTGTGCTGCAACTGGCTTTCTCTTAGTAAAGTTAGCGGAACTATGGCCTGAAGTGTTCCTAATCAAGCCATTTCCCAAAAATGTTTCTTTAATGCTTTGTTTTGATTAGTTTGGTTAACTTAGAACAACATTTTCCAACCAGGAGCTTTCTACAGGGGCTTTCTACAGGAGACAACTACTGAATTACAAATATGTTTCTCTGCTGTATTGAGCCTATTATATCTAATACAGTGTTTCTCAACCTTGGCCAACTTGAAGTCCGGTGGACTTCAAGCTGGCCAAGGTTGAGAAACACTGATCTAATATATTACAATGGGGAGAAATAGCTGTTTTGCATGAGAAACAACATGATTAGTCTGCCATTGGCTTTCTGTTGTCTTTTGGCTTACCCAGTGCTCATCGCCACATATTGGCCAATCCTTATCAGATTTGCAGTCACCTTGAGCTTGATGCTCTACTATTCTGGGACCACGTATTATTTCTTCTTCAAGTCCTCTAACTTCTTCTAAGGTAGGTTCAGCACTGGTCACCTGTGATGAAATAAATAAAGGAGGGTAAAAAAGAGACTAAATTAAGGCTGAAATGAAAGGCTGAAAACTCACACAGTAATAATTTCTTTTATAAATAATCCATATCTTTTTAGTTGATAAAAAATAATTTGCTAAAAATAATCAACTACATTTAGACCAGTGTTTCTCAACCTTGGCAACTTGAAGATGGTATTCGCTGGCTGGGGAATTCTGGGAGTTGAAGTCCGGACATCTTCAAGTTGCCAAGGTTGAGAAACACTGATTTAGACACTTGCTTCAGACTCACGAACTATTCATTTGTCAATAAATAGGTAACAATCATTCAAAGAAACAAAATGAATGAAGTCTCAAAGAGAGCCTCCATCTCTGGCAATAGGTGCCTACTTCCTAACTTTCTAAATATGGATTGATTGAGTGATTAATTTCACTACTCCCAAAAAAATTCCACTTTCCTATAAATAGATGATGTTACATTAGAATTGTTTGATTAGGGCCCATGGAAGCACACAGTAACATCTAATCAGGTTTAATTTAAATCCCATTGATTTCAATAGGATTTCAATGTAGGTCACTTGTTTGGGTTCAGGCCACAAGTGTTTTTAGTGGTAAATTAACATATTACAAAATATATTAAACCTTATGAGTTGGATATTGAAATTAGCAATTGCAATACAGATTGCAATACAAGTGTGCTAGATAGCTCAACTTGACTCTCCATTTAATTAGAAGACATATTTAATTTATGTCATGGAACTTTAAATTGTGAAGTGAATAGATTGATATACAGAGAAATTCTTCCTTAATATTAGCTATTATAGTAAAAATAGAAAAACAGAACCTTAAATGAAGAACAGCTTTCTATGTTTAGATGCTGATTACATCAAAATGCACATAAACTTATCAGAAGTATTACAGTATTACAATACTGTAATAATTCTGATAAAGTCATGTGCATTTATATAAGCAGTATATAGTTTATTTTAAATACAAATAATCTCTAACTTCAAACCAAAGTATTTTCAAATATTATTATAAAAGTGGTTTATAATACAAATCATGATATCACTAATTACTCTGAACTGGGGCTAATCCTAGAACTATGTTGTTTCTGATGTAAATGAAGATCATGTCCTATGAATAGGATCATTGGATTATTGATAACAAGTGATTAAACCTAAAATAAAAGATTAAAATCAGCAATATTCTATCCATCTTCTTCAAACGTTACCAGGGATTACACTTTTACAGCAGCCGTTTAAATGACTGTAATATGCTGTCTATCCAAGTTCCACTGTCCCATCTTTTTTCTTTAGAATACAGCAGAAATCTTTGACATCAATGGGACTTCTAAGTAGTCAAATATTCCCTGTTTCCCATAAAATAAGACCTCCCTGGATAATAAGCCCAATCAGGCTTTTGAGCGCATGGACTAAAATAAGCCCTTCACCGAAAATATTACAACATAGCAGCAGCCATGAGGTGACTATGCTTGCCTCCTTCTGCACCTCAAAAATAATAAGACCTCCCCCAAAATAAGGCCAAGTGGATATTTCGGGGTCCAAAGAAAATAAGACCCGGTCTTATTTTCAGGGAAACATGGTAGTTTTACAATATTAGTTTTACACTAATGTATTTGTAGTGCCCTTGTATGAGCCTGATAATTGTATGAAAAAATGTAAGCACGTAAAAAGATTTCTCTTTATTAATATTATACATAACATGTTCAAAAACGTCATCTGGTTTTTGTATAAAAATATAAGGGAAATGCATATGAATAGTGTATGCTGTATTTTTAGTCAAATATTTATAAAGCCCCCACAGTTTCTAAGCAAGCAAGATGATAAACAGCCTCCGTGAGCATTTAAAAACACAAAGCCACATCAAGATATGGGCTGAATCCCAACATTCTTCTGGGGTCTCCATCCACTCTCCAGAGATCGAATTATTTATTCCATGCAAGTCATGGAACATAAATAGGAGCTAAATGTGGCAGCGACATTTTTTTCACATGTGCCATACAAAGCTAAATATTAATTTTATCAACAAACTTCCAACTTGGTCCAAGAATTATACCGCCACTAAGAGAATATTTGAAGTGGACAGGCTGTTGTTCTTGATCGAATTATAGTGTATTTGATAGTGAAGGGATGAAATATGTCGCTGCAAGTAATGAAAACAACACAAATCAATATAATCAGTAAAGAAAAAAAACTAGATAAAATATATTCATACCAAGGCGATGCTGAAGGACAGTAGCGCACAGAGAATTCTTAGTGGAAACATCTTCAGAAAGGTATGGCTGTGGCCCAAAGGAATAGCCTTCACTTGGGCATTTTTGGTTCTATTTCTATCTTTGTTTTGTCAATCCTCCTCCCCTTCCTTCATTAATGATTAGTTTCCTTCTGTTTACACGGGCATGTTGCAATCTCTGAGTTTGGTGACCCAGAAACTCTTGCCCAAACTCTTGTTTTTTTTTTGACAGTCTAGTTGCTCAATGCTAGCAAACATGGAAGGCAAATCCTGGTTGCTCCAACCATATTCCTGGAACTGAGAATGTCTAAAGGTTGAAATGAGTCATTTCAAGGTAAATTGTAGAGAGGAATCCAATGTTAAGCACAAAGCCAATGCAATGACAAACAGATGCTATTTCTTGCATTAGAGGAGTACGTTGCAATAGAACATTTGTTCTCTATCTTTTATATCGCACTGTAATGTTTAGATTTCTGGAAGGGAAAAACATCTGTACAAATTCTGGAAGATTTATCTACCCCACACCTTTTTTTCTGTCTGTCTGACTCCTTATCCCTCTGTCCCCTCCCTCTTCATGAGGGAGGTCCCATAGCCCCTTTGAGACTATGATGGAAGAGGTGAAAACCCACAAACAGACCCTTTTTTTGGAGTGGATCTCTTGAATGCCATCTCAGAGTAAAAAGGATCAAATTTAACATGAGATTTAAAAAGTTATATATCTGGGAAGGGGGGGAGGAGTTATATATTTCCCTCTCCACGAAGTTGGGTAAGATGGAGTCAAATCTAACTATATCTGGGTTAGCTAAGTAAATTATTTGCAATAACAAGGAACAAGTTTTTTATATTTCCCATGCAACCCAGTTAAGTTTGGCACATCGATAGGATTGTTTTCCATTTCTATTCATATTGACATACATTCCTCTCTACCCCAAAGGTGGTTCTTAAAAGGCAGTTGGGCTTCCATTGTTTTTTTTTCCTTTGAAAACATTTCACTTCTCAATCAAGAAGCTTCTTTAGTTCTGACTGAATGGTGGGTAATAGAAGGCTTTACGATTATTGCAGTCATCTGAAGGTTAGCCTTTCACACTCTGAAGGTCAGTAGCAGTAGACTTATATACCGCTTCATAGGGCTTTCAGCCCTCTCTAAGCGGTTTACAGAGAGTCAGCATATTGCCCCCAACAATCTGGGTCCTCATTTTATCCACCTCGGAAGGATGGAAGGCTGAGTAGTTAGCTCTCTGAGAGTTGTTGAAGCCACATTGCTGGAATATCTGAAAAGCTCAGGAGGATTTTCAACCAACACAACATTCATGCAAACTTCAAACCCAAGAATACACAAAGGCAAAACTTTGCCCACACCAAGGATAAAACACCTGGGCACAAATAGAACAATCTGATATGTACAGTACTTTTCAGTGAGATATTTGGAGTTAAGATCTGTACATTGTGGAAACAAAGCAGCCACTTCACAAACACATGGCATAACATATAGGAGAACAAACCGAAGAGGGCAAGCTTAGACAATCCATCTGGATTTAAAAGAGAAAGGTCACTCTTTTGAAGACAGCAAACTCTACATTTTGGACAAAGAGGACCACTGGTTTGAAAGAGGGGTTTAAGAGACCATCTATGTTAAAATGGAACTGTCCCCTCTTGGCATTGAAGAGGGATATGACACCGCCTATTTCCTGTCTGCAATACAGTCCTTTCATCAGTTCCAAGAAGGTTCCACACATATTTGCATTCTGATTCAGGTGATTCTGAGGGTACAGATCAGTGGTGGGTTTCAAAATTTTATAGAACCTCTTCTGTAGGTGTGGCCTGCTTTGTGGGAGTGGCTTGCCAGTCATGTGACTGGGTGGGAGTGGCTTGCCAGCCATGTCACCGGGTCGGAGTGGTCAACTTGTAAAATGTGGTGAAGCTCACTTAACAACGTTCTTGCTTAGCAACCAAAATGTTGGCTCAGAAACTCTGGCGTTTGAAGCACCCAAGTCTTAAAGCTGTCAAGTTACAAGAGCCTTGCACCCCTAACCCTTTAGGAAAAAAACCCCAGGGGTGTTCAAACTTGGCAGCTTTAAGACTTGTGGACTTCAACTCCCAGAATTCCTCCTCTTACTCTTCATCTTGATGATGTGCGGACGGGTGGGGGGGAGGGAGCTGGAACCGGTTCTAAACAGCACTGTAGATTTGTGGAACCTCTTCTATAGAAGTGGTTAGAACTGGCAGGAACCCACCTCTGATACAGATAAACTCCCAAGTGGCCTCAACAACTCTCAGAGAGCTAATAACTGACCTTCTGAAGGTTAATGAGCTGTGTATTACCTATGGATTGTTGCTCTTTGAGCTCAGACCTCATGTTAATTTATTTCAGGAGCGTTTAGTATGCATGTAAAAAAGAATGGGACCAAATACAGAATGTTGACGTGTGTGCCTGTGAGATGGAAGAAGCACCATGGCATAACTATAGCAGAGTTTCACAATCTTTTTGCTTTGTGGACCTGTGGTGGGGGAAGAGGGGATGGTTCTATGTGGCTGGCGGGCAAGCACATGCATGTGCAGTGGGCATGCGCATCTGTCACTCATACAAATGGAGCAGGTGCCCATGTGCTCGTCCTCTGCTTGTGTGACTGGGGATGTGCACAAGTGGGGATTCATGTGCACACACTCACCCACCATTTCCTGGTTCCAAAAGGCTCAAGGCCTGGTAGTGGGCTGCAGCCTTGGGGTTAGGGACCCCTGCTATAGCACGTCTGCAACTCATAACAGGATACTATAACTAAAAATATATAAAAAAATGAATGGTGCCAAAGAACCAGAAGCATGGAACCGTCAGAGGAATTTGAGATGGGACTCCAATAATGATAATGATTATAATTAAAAATTTGAAGTTCAATTTCAATACAGATTAAAAAATGAAGATCTGATAAAAGCAATAGCACTAGAAGAAGGCTACAAATATTTGGGAATTTTGGAAGCTTTCAATTTACTACAGAATCAACTGAAAGAAAATACCATAGTTTTCAGAGTACAAGATGCACCTCTTTCCCCTACAAAAAAGGGTGAAAATCTGGGTGGGTCTTTTACACTGAATATAGCATTTTTGGCCTCCCAGAACCCCACCCCCTTAGCAAAAATGGATGTGCATAGGCTTTGGAAGGCCTGCAAAGTGCTCCTGGGGGCTGGGGAGGACAAAAACAAACAAAAAATGGGCCCTTTTTTGCCCTTTTTTGATGACATTAATGGTGGAACCATAACACCATTCAAAATGTCATCAACGTCATCAAAATCTGGGTCATACCTTGATATAATACACTGCTGGAATGATTAACTGGACACATGTGAAAGATTGGTAGTTCAAGACCTAAGTTACAAGTGACAGGGGGAGATCCCATTACTTGCTTAACTCCTGCCAATCTAGCAGTTTGAAAGCACATGCTAATAGATAAATAGGTACCACTTTGGTGGGAATGTAACAGTGTTCTAGAAATGGTGGTAGACTTTAGGATAAACCCTCCCATACTTTCACCTCTTACAATACTAGACAACATAATATCAACAGTGGAGACCTTCAGGTTTCTTGGTTCTATCATATCTCAAGACCTAAAATGGGCACCTATCATAAAAAATGTCATTTAAAAACCACAACAAAGATTGCTCTTTCTGCGCCAACTCAGGAAGCTCAAACTGCCGAAGGAGCTGCTGATACAGTTCTACAGAGAAAATATTGAGTCTATTATCTGCACCTCTATAACTGTCTGGTTTAATTCTGCAACCCAACAAGACAAACATAGATTTCAACGGATAATTAGAAAACACAATTACTACCAACATGTCTTCCATTGAGGATCTGTATACTGCATGAGTCAAAAAGAAGGCCCTGAAAATATTTACAGACCACTCACATCCTGGACACAATTTGTTTCAACTCCTACCCTCCAAAGGACTCTATAGAGCCACGCACAGCAAGACAACTAGACACAAGAGCAGTTTTTTTACCAAACACCATCACTGTGCTAAACAAATTATTCCCACACCACTGTCAAACTATTCTCTAAGGCTGCATTACTATTACTATTAGTCTTCTCATCGTTCCTATCACCCATCTCCTCCCACTTATGACTGCATGACTATAACTGTGTTGCTTGTCTCCTTACCATTTATATTGATATTGATTGTTTCCCAATTGCTTATTTGTATCCTATGACTATCATTAAGTGTTGTACCTTATGATTCTTGATGAATGTACCTTGTCT